TTGTCTTTCTGAACTTCCTTTTCTATTGCTAATTTGAGCTAATGATTCCTTTCTATCTCTGTAACTGGCTGATTGTGAATGCTAAATGAAATTATGGATGTGAAAGAGGCTTGTGAACTATAAATCCTATATAAATATAAGCCTTAAAATGGCAGACTTGGAGTACATTCTCTGTTTCACTCTTGTAATCCAGAGGATGGAAAATCCGGAAGACCTCAGTGAGGATCCCAGAAACCAAGAAAGTAATTAATTCAGGAAGAATAGCCAAATAAAACCAAAGGATGCACAAAAATCTCTAGATAAGATCTGTGTGGTTACAGAGGCTGTGGTTTGAATCTGAGATTAAAGGGTATACTGCATCTCAAAGAGAACTGAACATATTTCCTTTATGATCAAAGGAACAAAAACAAGAAACCTAGTATTGAATTTCAACCAGGATTAAGTCATTAACAGGCTAAAACAGAGAGTCTGAAAGTTTTCATTTCTAGAATGTATGTGATGTTGGGCAAGCAGCTTTTCATAATAATCCACCTCACAGGATGGTTGTGGTGCCAAAGCCTATAGTCTTAGTTATTCCAGAGATGGAGATCAGGAAGATCATAGTTTAAAGCCAGCCTGGGCAAAAAGTTCACAAGACCCCATCTCAATCAATGCCTTGGATGTGGTGGTATGCACCTGTCATCCCAGCTGTGCAAGGAACCACGAATAAGAGGATTGCAGGACCCAGGCCAGCCTAAGCATAAAGCGAGACTCTACCTCAAAAATAACCAATGTAAAAAGGGCTGACAGAATGACTTGTGTGGTAGAATATCTGCCTGGCAAGCATAAATAAGGTTCTGAGTTCAACAAATTGAGTTCAACTCCTAGTGTTTAAAAAAAAAAATCCATCTCACAGAAAGATTGTAGTCTGATGGGGAAAAATAGTCAGTGATATGTATTCATGTTTCCCAGCCTGGTCTTCCACCATGTTTAAGATAGTGGATTGATTGTATACTTATGGGATATTTTTAAGTCAGGAAGAGACAGAAATTGTTTAACTTATTCCTGAATTAGTTTTTCAAACTTAATATAAGGCATAGGTCACCTAAAATCTTGTTTGTTTAAATTGTATTCCTTGTCTGTTCAGTGAAAATTCCCAACCCTTTCAAATTGTGTGTGTATGTGTGCATATGCACAAACATAGCTATGTACATAGTCATGTACCATATAAGGACCTTTCAGTCAATGAAAGACCATATGTATGATAGTGGTCCTGTAAGATTGTATCATAGCCATCTTTGTTTGTATAACTACACTCTGTGATGTTCATGCAATGACAAAAATTGCCTACTAGCACATTGCTCACAAGTTATTCCCATGATTGAGGATGTGTGTGCACATGTGAACAAGGGTAATCTGAACTAGGAGAGGTGGGATTTCAAAGTTCTCAGCACAATTTACCCCCAAGATCAAGAATCTAAATTTTTTAAAAAGCATGTTTTGAGAAATGCATAGAATTCATCTTGTCTGAGAGCTTCCCAGAGGAGAGGTACTGGGAGGGGGGCCTGGGAAGGACGTTGAGAAGCCTGCAGGTGAGCCTCAAATATCATGCTGGAGTTCTGGATTTGAAGATAAGATAAATTGGTTAGCTTCACTGGCTATTTATCACAGAAGGTTATCAACAGATAGGTGGTTAGAGTTTCAGGTGGCTGTAAGGTGGGGGAAGAAGGATTAAGGTGAAGAACTTCAAAGGGAGAAAATAAATAGAAGATGATTTCAGCTTCCAGAAAGGAAATAAAGATTTGATAACTGGTTCTGGTGGGAGGTATAAAGAGGAGGCAGCAAGTAGCTGTGAGAAACAGTCTGGAAAGTGACAGGAAGTACCCTCCCTGTGGCCTCCTGTTGAACCTGAGTTCCTAAGAAAAGTTCTTGCCTCACAGAAGAACCCATGGCTTGGTTAAATCATTTGTTTTAGATAACAATAATTTTATTGTCTGTTGAGTTAACCTGATAGCCTATTTGCTTCAGGCCAGGTCCAGTGCTAAGAGTTTAAACAAATTATATTTCTCCTTTATTTTTTAAATTAGCTCTAAGAAGTTCATGTTATTTTCCAGCTTTACAGATCAGATCCAGAGGCACAGAGGACAACTTACCCAAAGTCACAGTTCTTGAGGATTAAGGAATCAAAGTACATAGTTCTGAGATTTGATATTTTAATCTGCATAACTCTGAGCTTAGATGGGGTGGAGAATCAGCATCTGTGGGCGGGAAGACACCCTAGAGCAGGAAACCAGCATAGTTGCTTTAAAAGAATTGGGGAGCTTTGTGGCTGGATCTGCTGGTCATTGTTTGGGACTCCTCCCCCCCTCAGATTAGAGGCCTCTGAGAAGAAATCGGAGATCTGGGATGACAAATACCTTCTGTTTTCAAGAAAGCTCATGAATGCCTAGGCTCTACCAGCATGGAAAATGAACCCCACTCCAATTTCAGCTTGAAGGAAGAGAAGGCAACTTGTGTGAATCTGGAAGAGACAGAGTGGTGGAGGAGTCTGTTTGGGAAGGAGCTTACAGCTGGAGAGGAAGAGATCCTCACTTCGGTAAACATGGGAGTTCAACAAAGTTGGGCTGGCAGTGCAGTCCTACTGGAGGAGGGGGCAGAGTGTGGGAAGTGTGTCAAAGAAGAACAACCTCAAGACTCTACTAATCAAATATTTTTCAGCATCTCTTTGTTCATTATTTCATTAGAGCCCCGTTAGTTGCCGAATTTACCCCTTTCTTGTAGTTCCAAAGAATTCAGGAACAACCAATGCACATGAGTATTCGTTCCTGTTTTTATTATTTTGTCATCTCAATCATCATAGGCTCAGTTTTATGAAATGTCCTGTCGCATAACAAATGTCGGCAACGTTTCAGTCTTTTTCCTTGCAACTCTTCCTCTCGAAAAGGTAAGAAAGGCTGCAAACAAGAAAAAAAAAAGAATTTAATAATTAATACAATAAGAGAATCCTTGCGAAGCTCAATGATGATAAAGTACCATAAATTTAAGAGTTGAACTCTACTCTTGAAACTGAGGTCCAAATGGGAAAAAATAAGTATTATTTTTTTTTAATTCAAGAAACTAAAAATCTGATGAGGAATGAACAAGTTTTCAAGCATACAAACAATATATACATTAAATATATAAACTAACCTGTGTCATGAGGGGAAGGAAAGTGGAGTTTGGAAATCAAAGTGCTTAGATACCAAAGCAAGAGGGGTCTTCCAAAAACAAGTGAGTTTAGGAGGATGATTAACTCAAACATTAGCATTTGAGACCCATAAAACTAAGCTGTATTGTAGAGAAGACAGAGGAAGAGGTTGGCCAGTCTTCTATGAGGTTGTTGGGGGTTAAATATTCTATTTATGTGAGAAATCCAGAAATGCCTAGGATTCAAGGTCTGCATTTATCAACTCATTCATTCCAAAAGACTATAAACAGTTGTTGGAAACTGCTACTGAATGGACAGGGTTTACCCTCTGGATGTTAGGCAAAGCATCTTTATTCTTAGAGGAGCTTGCATTTCATTCCCATGATTTTTCTTGGGCATCTGGGCTTTTAGGAGATTAAAGGGAGTGCTTGCAAGTTCCTGAAATTTTATCATTATTTCAAAATAAAAAGTTTTAAAGTGTTGTTTACTTTTAAAAACACCGCAGCTGGGCACTGGTAGCTCACATCTGTAATCCTAGCTACTTAGGAGGCAGAAATTAGGAGGATCGTGGTTCAAATCCCAGGCAAATAGTTTGAGAGACCTATCTCGAAAAAACCCACCACAAAAAAGGACTGGTGGAGGGTTCAAGGCCCTAAGTTCAAGTCCCAGTACCAAAAAAAACCAACCAAACAAACAAACAAAAAAAAACCTCACTGTATTCAGAATAGCAAGTTATCTTTCCAAAAAGGGCAGTGTTAGTATTTCCCTATTCCCCATTTAGTGTGTATAAGCCTAATGTGTACGACTGCACCCAGGTTGCCAATCTGATACCATCGAGTGTCTTTTCTTATTTATATCCTTTGATTACTTTTAATTACAGATGCCACTTGATTTCCTGACGGGTCCCCATTTTTCTGTTGGTCTGATAGTTTTTTCTTACTGATATATAAGCCTTTGAAAGCATTTGTATAATTAATATATTAATGTGCTGTGGTATATTGTAAATATCTCCCTCTCCCTTTATTCGCAGCTCTCTTAAACAGATCCTAGGTGATCTGGCCTTTGATTTTTTAAGGATAAAATAATATTAGGTATAGTACTTTTTTGTTGCTGTGTTTTTTTGTTTTTTATTATTCATATGTGCATACAAGGCTTGGGTCATTTCTTCCCCCTGCCCCAACCCCCTCCCTTACCACCCTCCACCCCCTCCCTCTCCCCCCTACTCCCTCAATACCCAGCAGAAACTATTTTGCCCTTATTTCTAATTTTGTTGTAGAGAGAGCATAAGCCATAATAGGAAGGAACAAGGGTTTTTGCTGGTTGAGATAAGGATAGCTATACAGGGAGTTGACTCACATTAATTTCCTGTGCGTGTGTGTTGCTGTGCTTTAAACTCAGGGCCTTAAGCATGCTAAGCTTAAGACTAACAGTTAGCTGCACTCTTAGTCCTAGAAGTAGTATCTGGGATGTCTGTGTCAACCCTTTTGCAGGGAAGTCTGGGAGGCTATGTCTATACCTAGACATTCTCATTCACTCAGGAAAAACAGACAATAGCCCTAAAGACCCTAATAGAGCTTGCCATCACCTTCTGATAACTCTGACAGAATTCATATTAATTCCAGGTCCTCATCGTACTGGTGAGCATTGAGTGCTCATAGGGGTGTGTGTAGGTGAGGATATGGCTTGAATTCTCTGGTCCTCATTCAGCAGGAATCCTTGCTGCCCTGCAATTGGCCTGTGTGGGCTTGGGCTAGTCTCTGCCAAAGTTTCAAAAGACTGTGAAGGAGCACAAAGACCTCAGGTCCTCAGACACTCCTGATCTACAACACTAGTTATGACTGCACAGTTAAGAGCCTCCTATCTTTTCCTCTTTCTTCTAACTGGCTTCTTCCGTCAGACAAATCCCAAGCCAGAGAAAATGAAGGTGAGTGAGTTGCTAGAAAGGGCATGGCAGGGTTAAACCTGGTTACTCTTCATTCCTGCTTCTAGATCCTGGCCTCCAGTCCTTCCTACAAGATTCCTACTTCCATTTTCTTCTTTTTTGTGAGCTTCCCTAAACCTTTCTTTTCTTCTCGAATCTTCTTCACTTCTATAAATGGGTGATCTTTGTGGTGAATGTAGGTAGGGAAGAAAGGATCTCCTTATTGTGGTACTTTCTGTGCTCCTTCTCCAAGCACAGGTACCCCGAATGTCCCTCCAGCCACATCAGATGAGTCTAAGGATGGGACTGCCATGGATATTAGAGTAGGTGGGAACTGGGGTTTGGAGGTGAGACTGAGCTGAGTCATTTCAGACAAAAATAATCATGAACTAAGGAGGGGTTTCTTGTTGAAAAAATAAAAAAAAACAGATCTGAAAGTTTTGGGAATAAAGTCAAAGAGCTATAAGAGGAACATTAAACATATGGAAAAATAATTAGAGGCCTAAAGCAACTGGATTTGGAGTCAGATGTCTTGGAATCTGGCCTCAGTTCTATTCCCAATTTATGACTCAGTTGCCTTACTTGAGTAGAAGGGGCAATTCAAGGAAGTATCGTAATGAATGAGATGACTTGGTGGCAAAAAGGAATCATGGAGTTAGGGTTCACATAGTGGATTATCCACTTTTGACCCAGGATATAAAGTTACCCGTTGCTAATTTATAGGTAACAGTATCTAGCTTATGGGTGAGTGAGCAACAATTATTATGCATATAATGTGTTCTACAAAAGGCAGATCTGGTAAGATGTTTACCCTGCTCTGAAATTGACTAAGAAACTTTTTCAGAACTGATAAGGTTTTTACGTATTGGTTACAATGCCACCGAAGTGTGTGTGGAGATCCTAAGCTTAGAATTTGCTTAATGAAAACTGTCTAGAGGTGTTGAGACATATAAATTTGGAAGAGCAATCAATATCAGGAATAAGATGGATTAAAATGTCTTCAAGCTCAGAGTCTCTCTAAGACTTTGTATCCTGATATGCAACATGATTTTAATTGAAGTAGAAAAAAAGAGAGAGAGAGAAAGGAAGGAAGGAAGGAAAGAAGGAAGGAAGGAAGGAAGGGAAAGAAGTGCAAAAGGCAAAAATGTTTAAATGTTTAACTTGGAGCCTGGTATCTAGGTGATAGGAATGGATGCTTTCTTTCTTTTTTTCTTTTTTTTAAAGTGTAGCCCAGGCTGACCTCAAACTTGTGAGCCTCCTGCCTCATCCTCTTTGCCTCATTGATTACCGGCTGTGCCACCAGGACTGGCGGAATGGATGCTTTCATATGATGTTCTCTTTATACATGCCTCAGTATTGCTGGTGCATACATGTCTGTGTAAATTTAAAGAAAGGCACAAAAATCTGTACAACGAAAACCTCTTTCTCCCCAATACTAAGACTGATTATCCACAACCTGCTGTACTAGTGAGAGAATCAAAGGGTTCATAGGGTTGGAAAAAGTTGAACTTTGTATTTGCATTACTTCTTCTTTGTGTGGGGTCAGATGGTATTTGGTTAAAATTCTTTCTAGTCTACTGCATTTCCAGAAGGTCTAGTTTAATTCTTAAGTCTGAAACCTTTCTAACCAGATAATGCCATTTTCTCTAGCCAGTTCCTCCACCTTTTTCTCACTAGATGGTTTGGACATTTAGCTTCTTTTTCATGCTTCCTCTCTTCCTACTACTCCTTGTAGTCCAATTCCCCAACATAGGGAAGGAGGTCAGGTTGTGCTGGTGAGCTGGAGGGGGCGCTGTTTTTTCGCTCCTGCCTTTGTTAGAGTGAGCTTTCTTTCTCCTCCTGGTTAGTACAGAACCTAACTGGGCACAACTGGAGAGTCAGAAAAGACACAGGATAGACAAACAGACAGAAAGTGGGGTCAGGTGTGTTGGGCACTCGAGTGGAGACGCCCAGCCCTAATTGCTTTTTTTCTCTATTCTTTAAGGCCTTACTCCTTGCAGCTCTTTAAAACCTTGCTTAAAACCTCTTTCCTGAGACTGGCACTGTCCCGTGTTATTTCTTAGCTTATCTTTAGCTAATCCCTCTTAAAGTCTTTTGCCTCCAGGCTTGCAGCTTTTCTTTAGCATTCTTTCTTTAGCTTTCTTAAAGCCTTGGTGCTCAGACTTGGAAAGTCTCCGTCCTCTATCTTGTACTGTCCCATGTTCTCTTTGGCTTTTCTCTAGCTTCCAAAGCCTAGGTTAAAGTTCTTTATTTGGCTTTGCTTTTCTAAGGCCTATGTTAAAGTTCTCGGTGCAGACTTTCTATCAACCCCTCTTTAGCCATACTTTTCCCTTTGGCAATTTCCCTTTAGCAATTCTTTTCCCTTCAGTAATTCTTTTCCCTTCCAAAAGCTTCCCACACCAAAAAGCCTAAGCCAAAGCCCCAAAAAGCCCTCCAAAGCCAAAGGCAAAAAAGCAAAAAGCCCCCAGCCCTCCTTCAGTGGGCCTGGCAAACCGGGGAGCAGAGGCTCTCAGGGAGGGGCATGACATTGTAACAGGAGAAACCTGCGTTCCTGCTTCCACGATTAAGGAGATGCAGCTGTTCTACTTTTTTCTGTTTCATGGCTGAGGCTGTGTCGGTCTCGACCTACAGGTGAAAGCAATTAAGCTGAATCTTGCCTTGCTTACCTCTAGTTCTCATAGGCTTTTCATAATCCGATCTCCACAGTGAGCATCATGGCATTAGCACGCCTTACCTACTGAAGGGAACCTGCAAGGGTAGATGACACTTACTTATAGAAGAATTTAACATAAGAACACGAAATGAGAATTTCAGGTGGGACTTATTTCTGTTATGCAGCTTTCTGCTCAAATATTTGAGAATAAGTGAGATAGATGGAGCAGATAGTGAAGGTGTTATTCGACACCTGGATCATGGTGTGAGGAACTGAGTATGTGATAGATTGGATGCTGCCAGACAGATTTTAGTGACCAACCACAGATAGAATTTAGGCTCTCCAGATCCTTTCTTCGGGATACACAAAGGTGGGTTCCACAGTATTGACTATCACATGAATAAGAGGATAGCAGAAGAGAGAAAACTGTTCAGGGAGGTAACAGTAGATTCTAGAATGTTAAACCTGGAAGGCTCCTTGAGGTTCTAATAGGAATCTAGATGAACATAATGGATTTTTCTCTTGGGGAAACTGAAGGCCAAGATGAGAATTGCCCAGGTTCACAAAGGAATTTAATAATAGATTTGGCTTCCAATTTCCAGGCTAGAGATCTTTCTGTTCTATCATGTTAATGAGTGGAGTTGTATCATGTTAATGAGTGGAGTAAGAAGCCAGAAGACCCAGGAAAAGAGAAGTAATTAGACCATCCTGAAATACTCAAGCAATTAAAAACCTGCCCTTCTCTGAAACAGTCCAGCAGCTTTCATTCCAGAGCCAAGGCACAGCCTCAGCCTCACACCGTGCTTTTTTCTTTGGCCCTGCTTACTTCCAGTTCCTCTCATCCCAGCTCACAAACCTCATTTCTTTTCCAGTCATCTCAAGAATGTTCTGGTATCCTACCTCTGCCAGGATAATAGGAAGAGAGGCTTGACTATTTTTTGCTTAAAAAAAATAGACTTCAGCTGGATGCCAGTAGCTCATGCCTGTAATCCTAGCTGCTCACTCAGGAGGCAGAGAGCAGGAAATAGTGGTTTGAAGCCAGCCCGGACAAATAGTTCTGGAGACCCTATGTCACAAAAACCCTTTACAAAAATGGGCTAATGTGGTGGCTTAAGGTATAGGCCCTGAGTTCAAACCCCAGCACTGCAAAAAAAAAAAAAGACTTTAAATCACAAGATCCAAATTCAGTCTCAACATTGATCCCCTAAACAACTTTTGTTTGTTTTCTGAGACTCAGTTAATACCGGGTTATTTGTTGAGTGTTTTGAAAGATTGCACAGATGTCAAGAATTGCTGTTACTAATAATACAATTTATAAAATCTTCCAGATGAACTGCTACAAAGATGTGAAAGGCACCATCTATGACTATGAGGCTGTCACTATTAACAGGAAGGAGCGCATTCAGTTCAAGCAGTATGTGGGCAAACTTGTCCTCTTTGTCAACGTGGCCACTTATTGTGACCTGACAGCTCAGTATCCTGGTAAGAACTCAGAGCCATATGTCTTTGGGACTTAAATTTGTGGTTTATATTCTAAATTACACTGGGAATTATATTCTAATTATGTGTCAAAATAAATATGTGAAATTAAGTAACTTAATTCTCTAATATCAGAAGTCAGCAAAATTTGGCCTACAAATCAGGCCAATCTGTTTTTTGTAAATAAGGTTTTACTGGATCGCAGCCATGCTTGTTTATTTACATATTGGCTATGATTGCATTTATACCCAAGGCAGAGGTTGTAGAGTACTCGTGATGAGAACATATGGTCTGCAAAGCCTGAAACATTTACTATTTGGCTCTTTACAGAAAAAAATTGCTGGCTCCTTCCTTAGACCTGGCCTCTGCCTTGTCTGAGATTTTCACTAAAAATCAATAGGAGCTTCTCAGAAGATTCCAGAAGTCTCCTTAGAAATACAGGAGAGAAGATCCATATTTTTTAACTTTCCAGGGTAGCTTGCAATGACAAGGAAAAGGAGACAGGTTTTTATATCTGTAGTTGCATTTGACTGAGTAAGGGTTGGCAGAGGAGGCTACGATAGAAGTCAATACTTCCAAACCTCACCGCTTCCTTTGGGTGGAATATTCTCTTTTGTTCATTATTCAGGGAAGAATTTTGCCTTTCTCATATTTTAGGTCATTGGTTTAAAAGCCAATGGATAATGAGCAGGATGGGTTATACCAGAGACAGATGTAGTTCATATATTTGAAGTAATAAGAACTTCCTTTGGGTTTTTTATTTTGGTGTGTTTTGCGGAAGTAATATATTCACAAGGCTCAAAATTCAAAGGAAACAAAAATGTTTAGAAAACTCTCTCCACCTCCCTTGCCTCCCTTCAGACACCAATATTGTCATGTTTATAAAATACAATTCTTTCTTTCTGCTCCTCCCCTCAGTTCATAACATATTACAAGTACTATTTCCTGTCTTTCCTTTTAAACTTAGCAAAATATTTCACATTTGAGCTCGCGCGCGCGTGTGTGTGTGTGTGTGTGTGTGTGTGTGTACGTGTGTGCTTAGATCAGGGTCTCATTATGTAGCCCAGCTGGCCTCAAACTTGTGATCCTCCCAAATATTGGGATTACAGATATGTGCCACCATACCTGGCAGTAAAATACTCTTGAGTTTAGTCCACTTCCTCATTCTTTTTAAAGACTGAATAATATTTATTGGACCATAACTAATTTTATCCATTCATAGGGACTCTAAAAAAAAAATCAACTTATTTGGTTTCTACTTGGCACATAACAGATGAGGAAACTGAGGAATGGCTACTCAAGGAATGGAAAACAAGCTTCCTAATTTCTTGTCTCTTTCCTTGAGGGCTACAGTGCTAAAGAAAAGAAGGAAGGATATGAGGAGAGATTCTGAGGAACCGCTCCTGAAAACAGGAACGCAATCTATTTTTTTTTAAAAAAAGAAAAATAGTAAAATAAGAAGGACTAAGAGGAGAAATCAATTGGCTGAGCTAAATCTGAGTGGAACTGGCCATTATTTGTCAAGAGGTGAAAGGCAGCCATCCTGGAAAGGGTTCACAAAGAAGGTGATTATAAAACTCTGAGCCAGAGCTGGTGGCTCACACCTGTAATCCTAGCTACTCAGGAGGCAGACAGAGATCAGGAGGATCACAGTTTGAAACCAGTCCAGGCAAATAGCTTGCAAGACCATATCTCAAAAAATCCCTTCACACAAAAGGGCTGGTGGAGTGGCTCAAGGTACAGGCCCTGAGTTCAAGCCCTAGTACCACAAAAAGAACAAAACAAAACCAAAACTTTGAGCAGACACCCTGGAATTCCTCCTGGCAGTGGATGAAGGCAGTTGAAGTTTATGTTTTGGTATATCATGGAGGATTTTTAGATAGAATTCATCTTTACCATCCTGAGAATGGTTGAATATCTGGTCAACTTGAAATTTCTCTGGTTCTGCCTGCCTCTGTCAGGTTTAATTGTACTGTGCTCCGGGTGAGCCAGCCTGATATAGGAGAGAAGATCAGTTCTCCTTGTCTGTGTCTTTTCCTTTAGAAAAGAAAGCTTCAATCTGTCAACTAACCAAGTAGGGAAGGCAAACTGATGAACAGTGATGTTGCAACCTGACTTTGTTTTAAAATCAGTGGGATGGTGATGCATGAAGATGAGTAGGCTCCATCTCAAAGCAATGGGATAGAAACTCCTCTGAAATGGACCTGGACATCCCTGTTCTTAATGAAGAGCCTCCAGATGGTTGTGATGTGGTGCAGGTTTGGGATCTGCTGACCCATAATAAAGGGCTTTAGAGTACATGTCCATACATCTGGTGCCACTCACAACCTTCCTGATCTAGAGATGTTCCCCTTTCTGGCCTGATTCCTTCTCTGTAAAATTAGTAACCCCAGGGACCTTTCTCTACCCAAAGTCCAGCCCATAGTCTACCTTTTCTAACTACAGAACTGAATGCACTCCAAGAGGAGCTGAAGCCCTTCAACTTGGTTGTATTGGGCTTTCCCTGCAATCAATTTGGAAAGCAAGAACCAGGGGACAACAAAGAGATTCTTCCTGGGCTCAAGTAAGTGCTTGGAACCCAGTGGGAGCTCCCTATCTACCTTTCCTGTCTCCAGAGACCCTTCCTTCTCAGGAACCTCCTGGCTGGGTGATGGATTGATAGGCTACAGAGCATTTGCAAGCTGATTTTAACCTTTGCCCTGAGGAGAGTCTGGTAGTGTCCAGACTCCCTCTCCACCTCTGGCTGAGACCTGGATGGACTGTGGAACAGCCAGACGACAGAGATACCTGGAAAGGAAGCAGTGAGAGGAGCAGAGACAGACTATGGACTAGAGAAAAACCAAGTGAATCAGGATGCCCAAAGTCCCAAGCTGGCCTTATTCTCTTCTGTACTCCCATCTCATGCCTCAGCTCCTTTCTGCCCTTTCTCACACTTCAAATCCTTCTGTCCTATTTATTATAACTTCCTCCCTCATATGCTGGAACTTCCTGGGAACATTTGATTTTTTGCAGGTATGTCCGGCCAGGAGGAGGATATGTACCTAATTTCCAGCTTTTTGAGAAAGGTGATGTGAATGGTGATAAAGAACAGAAAATCTTCACCTTTTTGAAGGTGAGTGAATTAGTGGCTTATGCCTCTTCCTTTTCCCCAATACTGCTTTTGTTTGTATTTTGCTTTTTTTTTGAGATAGGATCAAGGCTGGCCTTGAACTCACTTTAGAGTCCCAGCTGGACCTCCATCCTTCTGCCTCTGCCTCCAAGTACTAGGATAAGAAGCATTGTGCCACCACAAAAGGCTTTTCCTTAATATTCTTAGCACAGAGTTGGTGGTGTGGAAATGGACCCAAGGGATCATGTCTGGAGGTGGAATTGAGCCTTGTGGATGAAATCTCCAATCAGCATAGGGTTGTGGGTTTAATTTGTTAGTATCTTTGGGGCTCTGGATTTGTGTGATAGAAAAGAATTGTGTGGAGGTGCAACCTTTACTGGGACTACCCCCTTGCTCACTGATGTCCATTCACTCATTCATTTATCCAATGTACATTTAATGAGTATCCACTACTTATAAGGCAGCTTAATAATACAGACATGAAGATGAATAAGGTACATCTCCTACTATTGATGAGATCATCCTTCAGTAGAGAGCTAGAGATTGACAGATATAATAGAGTATAGTGGATTCCTTATGAAACACTGACTTGTAGACCCAGAGAATGCCAGAGCTGAAAGGACCCTAAAGATCACCAGTGAGTTATTCAGAAATGCTGGACTATGGACCAATACTAGACATGTTAAGATTTTTATATGTCCTCAGTAAACTGAAGAAAATAGAAGTGTAAGGAGGGTCTCATAAACCCAACTCATGGGACTTATAAGGCTACCCTTTATTCAAAGATTATTGCCCACATATAATTTATAATTTGAATTCTTACAATGGTCTTTTCTAACATAAGTGATGGTGTCTTAATTTTTTTCTTATTTTATAAAATGTTAATAACTCTAAGTTGCTCCCAAAAATATTTATTAGAACACTACTAGCCCACATAAACCTAGATCTGGGAAACCACTTTCTAATCCAAGTCATTCACTATTCTGAAAATGAAAATGAAAGCTTGAGAAGTGATATACCTTACATGCAGACATGATAGGACTTGGGGTCAGAAACAGAAAGAGAGAGCAGACTAACTGTGTCTGCAACAGTCTTGCTAGCTGGCATGGTGGTGATGAGAAAAATATATGGAGTTTACTAAGAATCACAGGGAATTAAAATGTAAGAGGGATGGCTTACCTGTGGGTGAAAATATCCTGGGTCATTTGGGAACAGAAATGATGTTACTGTTTCTCCTTTCCATTTCCGCTTCAGCGCTCCTGTCCTCACCCCTCTGAGATTATGGGCTCATCCAGACATATCTCCTGGGAACCCATAAAAGTCAATGATGTCCGCTGGAACTTTGAAAAGTTTCTGGTAGGGCCTGATGGAGTCCCTGTCATGCGCTGGTTCCACCGGACTGCAGTCAACACAATCAAGTCAGACATCCTGTCCTACCTGAAGCAATTCAAAACTAAATAGGAAAGCTACTCATCCAAAGACCTGTCCCGGAAAAAACCATCCTCTTGCCACAAGCTTTTCCTAAATGGACTCTACTTGACTAAGTCACCTCCGTGCTGCCAAAATTCCCACTCTCTACCAAGTACATTTATATTTGGAAGACCACTGAAAATTTTCCTTAAAAGAGTATGTGGGGAGAGAATAAAAGAATGGAAACCTTAAATCCAGTATCTCTGTTACAGATTGGATCATTCATATCCATCAAAGGAAAACCATCCTTCCATGAAAATGGCTCAGTCAGCTATCATATCTTGAAGAACAACATCCTTAGGGCATTCTATCTTCTCTTTCTACTCTGAAGGTGTAGAAATAGTGGTGGGATTATAGTCACATAATATAGATTCTGCCTTCTAATATTTTCCCCTGTTGTCAATTTCCAAGTCTTTTTAGATCAGTCTTCAGACATGACACCTCCAGTCACCTGTCATTCTCCTGTAGGAGCCCTAAGTGGGAGCAGGAGAACTGACTCATATAAAGGGAGGACATCTCCATGCTAGTGGGACCTGGGACTTTTCTCTGTTTGGTCCTCAAAAGCTTTGTGTCATTGTCTGACCTTTTGTGCTTGTGGGTGGGAATGCCCTGTGTGTTTGAAGGATAAGATTTCCCTCTGGACCAAAGATTCTTCAGTTTCAGCCCAGCCTTGTTACTAACTCCAATAAAATGTTTTCTGCATATTTAAGATCTCTGTGGTGGTTTTAAATCCCATCTTGTACCTGAACTCATCTTATATCCCTCCTCTTGCTTATTCTGTCACTGACGGTGTACTTTCCAAATTATCTGAACCTCCACAGGCAGAAGGATTTACCCTCCCAGATGATTGGAAATTTGCCACGTGATGCCTCTTAGCTGTCAACTGTCTTTAGGAATTGCTTCAAGCCAAGTTTGTCCCTGGGGTAGCCTATGAAGTGGTCTATGGGAGGGGGTATAAAGACCAAACCTTGACTGTTCAACTGAGAACAACTCCAAAGGGTCATCCCAGTTCCAGAGACACTTGAGGCATAGGTTGGTGCCTTTTTGTGCTTGCACTGCACTGTACCTCAATTTTTCCCTATGACAATTTCTGCTCTTCCTAGCTATTCTCTTCCTATTCTATTCCCTGATTATGATAACCATCAAATTAAAAATATGCATTCATTGGAGCCCCATCCCCACATGTGGAGCCTTAGATAATGACTTAGTAAACTATTTTTCTTTCTTTCTTTCTTTCTTTAGATGCTGGGGATCAAACTGAGGGTCTCATGCATGCTAGGGCAAATGCTCTACCACTGAGCTATATCCCCAGTCCCCTAGTAAACTTCATGAATGCCAATCTCCATCTTAGAATCTGCTTTCCAGGGAGCCCAACCTGCAATTGTTGGAACAAAATGATCCAAGAAAGAAGTTGCTAAGATGAGATTTTTAAAGCTGAATTATCCACAACCTGGATAACATGAGTAGAGCACAAACAGCCACTGCACTGGTGTGGTGTACTGATAGAAGGGTGTGCACTAGAAGATGTGAGGTGGGTGCTTGGAAGACATGGGGATTGATAGCTATAAGATAATAGAATTGGATGGTCAATGCGGAATTAAATCCTTGCTCTAGAGAGGGTCAAAATTAAGAGCTAAGGATGATATATCATTAAATAAAGGCTAAGTGTGAAACTGTGTTTCCACGGGATCCTATTAAGAATCTCTCATAGCCTGCAACTCAAAGGCATAAAAAGTGAAGGTTCAGGCCCAAGACTTAATCACAGGGATAGCAGAATTCCAAAGAAAGTTGAATTCCAAACCTAGATTGTCTGCTATGCCAATTTAAGACATTATTGGGAAAGAATAGATCCGGAAAACATAAGATGGAGACATCTGGTTTGTGGCAAAAGACCATTCAAATCCCCAGGTTTGCCAGGACCCTTGAAACTTTTAGAAGAGGCTCACTCTCCTTCTTAATAAGGGTTAATGTGTCCTTCTTGCTTGAAAACAGTGCAGATGACTCTGTCACCTGTTCAGCATCCGCCCTTATAAAACTAGATTCTAACAGTTCCTAAGCAGGGGAGTGGAACATAAAGTTATGTTAATTGATAGGAGAGCACACCCACACACACCTCCCCAGTACAGAGAATTTACACACTGGCAAGAACCCGACACACTGTTAAGGATGTCCCCTGCTTGGAAAAAAGAAATGGTTCTTGATAAATGTAGAAATGCCAGGATGTTGTTACAGATGCAGAAATAAGGGATCAAAAGTTCAGAAAGGTTAGCATGTTACAGTGGATTTACCAAGTAAACCCACTAGGTGACACGCGTCACAGAGGGCCAAAGGACTTTGAGTTTAAGTCCTTTGAGTTTGAAAAATAAATAAATAAAAAGGAATGTTATTAGCTCATGCCACTTAATACCTTTACCAAAAATGCTTTAAAAATTTCACCTTTATCTGTAAATAGTCACAGAGAAAAGCCTGAAACAAAAAACAACAAATGTGGACAATGGATCTCTGAAGATAGGAGACTTCAGAAATTTTTCTTAGTGTTTTTCTGCTTTTGCTTGGCCTGTCTTACAGTGGCTTTTCTTTCATAATTATTATTGTTGCGAGATCTAAGATTTTTTTTTCTAAAAGAAATATTATTTCTTTGAATGTTTTATTTTAACACTGGAGCGGGAGAGCATCATATAAAGCAGAAGAAAGCCTCGCAGAGAGAAGGGTGGAGGCGCGGAAACCGAACAGCGAAGGCGCACAATCCGCGCGAATCCCAAACAGCGGGAAAACCTCTGCTTTTTACCCGCGGAGTGCCCTCACCTAAGCGCAAACCTCGTCCCGGTGTAGTGAGCCACACGTCTGCTTCACCTGCAGCCAGTTTTGCCTCCACCCTTTGTCAAACCAACGTGAGTTTCCTTCATTCAAATACTTTCAAAGAGCTGCCTGAATTTAAAGAAACCATCGGGAAGTCTGAGCGGAAAATCAAGGAACAGGGGACTGAAACCTTCAGTCCCTCTGTGGTATGGGGAAAAAGGCTTGAGATTGGAGTTCCCTTCCTTCCCGCGTTTTTAGCGGAAGTTCTATGTCACAAGGTTTCTTTTGGCTCATGTTATTTAATACCATAAAAACGTTTAAAAGCAGCTAATCTGTAAAAGCATCTTCACTTATGTCCCTTAGCACATACTAGTCGTGGCTCCAGTGGCGCAATCGGTTAGCGCGCGGTACTTATACAACAGTACGTCTGTGAGCTATGCCGAGGTTGTGAGTTCGATTCTCACCTGGGGCAATTTTACTGTTCTGTGCTGGAAACCCAACTCATGAGAGAGCATAAAGATTTGAGGTCTTTCTAAGGAAATGCTATTGTGATTTAAACTGTACCCAGACCTGCTTAAGCCTGTGCATGACAGATGTCATTCCATAAGCCCTTTTGATAACTGGCTTCTTGAACCAACACTTCTGCAACAATTTTTGTCAGTTGCCTAAAACAACTGTTCCAATTCTATAAGAAACACCATCATAATCTCATGCTCAGAACTCAGGTCCATATAAAAGTTGCTGGTTTGTTGACTCTATGACATGAGGGTGATGCTGGTTCTCATCATTATTTTGGTTAATAATTTCCTGTCACTGAATCTGCCTTCCTTATCTCACTTTCTTCTTTCCTCTGGACTTTCTCTGGGATTCTTACCACCTTAATAAATCCTTGTTGCCTGAGACACAATGATTGATTCTTGGAAAAGAAATTGTCCCACTACAGGCTTAGAATTGAACAGGAACCAGGAGGAGAATGGGGCAGGGCACTCATCTCACCCTCTGGATTTTAAACGTTGTCTGAGACATCCTGGAGAGGTAGGTTTAGAGCTCTCCCACCTAACAGAAGATTTATGATTGACCATGTGCAACTGCTTTGCACTGTCAGTTCTTGTTCAGCTGCTGCTACATTTTGTAGTGTTTACCTTCACCCTGATCCCACCCTGAGCTGCCACTGTGGACATGCAGTATCAGAGCAAGAGTCAGACCAATTTGGATGAATGCTTGGTAAAAAAGTGATAAGTGGATAGTTAACTTACTAAGATGTACAATGGACATATCATTAAGAGCTGTTCACAGTACTGTTGATGATAAATTATCAGTTAATAGCCACAAATTCTCTTCCTGAATGCATGTCTCTTTTGCAAAGTGATTTTGCAGTAGCTTCTTTCAAGAGGTGGAGTCTATTTTCCCTCCCCCTTGTATGTGAGTTGCCTTGTGATTTGCTTTGGCCAATAGAATGCTATAGAAGCAGTATGCAAAGTGATGTGGGAGTTCCAAGATCAGTTCACAAGAAGCCTTGTACTGCCCCTCTTGCCTCCTGTTGAGGCTATCATATAAAGAAGCCCCATCTAGCCTCTTATAGGGCAGCAGACTACTTTGGAAACCAGAGGTTTAGGTCAAAAAGCTCTGGCCCTGGAAGTCCCAAATAGATTAGGTTTGGCCACTGGTCGCTAGGCGCCAATTAAAGAGATGGGCACTGGTGAATGGCAGAGAAAGGAGATTTGCTTGCAATCGGCCTTGTTGGGGAGACAAAAATCTTGGGGTCTATGGTGACCCCAAGATTGTCTTTAAGAAGCTGACAGAAACTTTGACATTTTATAGGAAGGAAATCAACAGACTGGTTTGAGGTGTATGTGACTGGTGGAGCCAGCAATCTTGGTCAGGCAGGTGGTCTGGTCCAGTTCTGGGAAGTTATCACCTGGAGCGAGTAATCTGGTTCCTGTTTGAGAGGATTCTTGGGATAATTGTCCTCACTGGGAAGGTGGCAACTCCAAGTGGCTCCAGTTCACTGTCACAAAGATGTTATCCATCAGTCCTGCTCCTCCTGGAATGCAAGGTGACTGGGAAGGACAGAGGGACTCAGAAAAAGTTAATGTGGCAGAAGGACAAAATGGAGTTAACTATGCAATGTGGCAGAAAAGGGCAAAATGGAGTTAGCTAGGCCCAGTGCCCTTTTTCACTTACAGAAAGAG